TATATATATATTATCAGTATAATTTAATCGGGCATAATTATAGATTTTATTTTTTCAAAGTTATCATATTAGGCTTGTTACCGATTGCTATAGATCAACAAACAATTATGTATATGCATTGTTAGCTCATGGTTGAAAATTTACATTATCAACATTATTTATACCATTAATATAACATAATTAATCTGTCATATTAGGCTAGCTATTACTCTATTATTATGAAGTTACTTGTTATTGTAAGTTAACTTAATTTGATAGTAATCATGTATTAAAGCTCCATGATTAAGAGTATTAATTAGTAATATAAAAAAATTGTGTAGCTATGGATTGTGATTAAGTGGATCTTGATCCCTTAACTCCCCACGGTGGCCAACGCAACACCATCTAATATCATGGACATTAATTGCGACCATGTGATGAGTTTCTTAACTAAATTATAACTATGTGATTGGAAACAAGCTAAGGGCATAGATTCATTGATTGTTCGATTTGATTGTTTATATATTATATTATAGTTATATATATAAATGTTGCGTAAGTCGACGGCCTCGAATATATAAGAACATGTGCACATTTATAAGGCAAATTTGGTTGGATGGATAGACTTCAAATTAAATTATTTAAGGAAAGAATATTAATAGAGCTGGATTTGTCTTTGTTGTGTTTTTGGTTGTTTTAATTGGTACAGATGGACGGATTAGAACGCAAAGATAATATTCAAACACATACACCAACAATATGGAAGAGAGATGAATTTAATTGGCATTTTTTGCCTTTTTAATTCGAATATATATGTTTACATCATGTAAAGTTGGCAGAGGTAAAGGTTAAAAAGAAATTTCAGTAGAATCTTTTTCGTTCAAAAATTACACAAATAAAGTAAAATAAAAACAAAATTATTACTAATAAAACTTGTTGAATCCCCTTTAAAACAAGGGGAACTTCTAAAGTTCACATTTTTGGATTTTTAAAACTTCCTTGTTAGAATTTTTGCAATAAGTTCCTGATCGATCAAATTCAATAGATTTTGCTAAAAAAAAAATGTTTCTTAAAAAAGTTATTAAATTTCTATACATATTACATTTAGAATTCAACTATCAACATTTGATGTTGTCGTTTTCTAGTTCAGAATTTATAAAGTTAAAATTTTGACTCTGTCTCCTTTTAAATTATTTTTTAGGGTATTAATTGATACACATAGTGTGATAAAATAGTAACACAATGATTGATGAAGACTCCAATTTTTTTTCAAAAATTAAAAGAAAGATGCAAAGAATGTGTTTGTGTCCATATGATAAAATCAAAAGAACATGATAACAGTTGGATGGAACATTAGAGAGAGAGGAGAGGGACATTAAAGCACGCGTTGCCGGTTCAAGAAGGTGCACAAGTATGGGGGGTGGTAGGGTCCTTTTGGGTTTTCTAAAAGGCTGAGCCACGCCCTACCCTTCATCCTTACTGTTACTTGGTCCCATCTCCCTTCTTTTTAACAAAAAAATAAAAAATGGGCATCATGACATATATTATATAGTATCAATAATGTTATAAGTATATGATGTGGTACTACTGTTAATTCTGATCACTTTGTGCTCCATAATTCAAAACATGACTCTATTGTTATTCCCAACTTGACCTTAGCTTAATAACTTGCAACAACAACAAATTAGTCCGTCATAAGTGAAGTCTGGAGAAGATAACTAAAATTTACTTTGATCTTATAATTTTTATTTTTATGGAATAGAAAGACTTCTTTCGATAAATTCTGATTGGCTCACCAAAACAGAATTAAAACGAAAATAATATCGACAAAATAGCATAATTCATAAACAAAGCAATATGTCTTGTTACTTGGCGTGGTTCAATGCTTAGTGGATCTTCAGATATCCACTATACTATAGGCATTAATAAAGCTAATCATAGGCCATAGCTCAAAATTTTAGTTTTTGGATAGGGTTGGTATATAGGCGCATAGCTACATATACTAGTAAGAATTACTTTGTCATTTTTCAGCTCTGACCATCTCCGATCCTACTCTATTTTACTCTCCATTCTCTATAGTTAGAGAGTAAAATAGAGAATGTTCTCTCCAATCACTTTCTATTTTATCCTCTACTCTCCAATTATAGAGAGTTAAATAGTAGTTCTCCAATTACTATTCATACTCTCTATTTCACTTTTTGCATATTATATTATTATTTCTACTATTTTATAATTAACATATTATTTTTCATATAAGACTATTAATTAAATCTCTAATATTTACAATTCTTTTTAAATGTAATATAACATTTTTAAAAATATTTTATTTTATATATACTACTTTCATCTCGAATTAATAATATTTTAATTTGTTTTTAAATTTTCGTCACTTTGTGATACAATTTGATGTTATTATTAATTTTTTAAATGATAAGCTAAAAATTTTAATTTAAAAATATAATACATAACATAATAATTTAAATACAAGATAACAATACAATACAATGTATAACATAATAATTTTAAAAATCACAACAATAATTTAGTAATCCGATAGGTCGTTTCTAGATTTAACGATATTCGAAAAAGGAATTAGTGTATGATTTAGAGAAGTTGTGGTTGTGATTGCAGTTGTGCTTGTTGATTTCTTTTTTCAATTATTCGTAGTTGTTCTTTAGAAATTTAGAATAAAATATAATTTAATATTAAATAAAAAATTTCAAAAAATTAAAAATTTATATTGCATGAAATTATAGATGATTATTCGAAAAAAAAAAAGATTTATATTATGGAATACGAAAACAAAAATGAAATAGAAATAATAATATAATATTGAGGAGAGAGAAGCAGATTCTTTTTTAGAGAGTAAAATAGAGAATTGGGTTGAAGTTGGTTGTCTGAAAAAATAGAGAACTCTATATTTAGAGAGTAAAATAAAGTATAGGATTGGAGATGCCAATGTTTAACAAATTTTACCTCAAGAATTGAATAATCTTGAATTGAGAAGTTTGTACTATAGTGGTAATATCTAAACATTATTTGAGTACATGTTATACACAAGATAAGGCATCTAGTACATTTTGTACAGCAAGTGACGCATCATCAATTAATCTTTTTAGTGTTCAGATCAAAGATATTTTGTTGATGAATAAAAATGCTCAAGAATCTTCATCAGCCACAAAATGTTTTTATCACTTTACAAAGAAAGTCCTGCCAAAAGTAGTATGATATCTTCCTCTCTTTCATGAGTACTACTCTTTTCCATTCCACACTTTCCTTTTGGCCCTTTTATGCTCTTCTTGTCATAAATCTACCTAAACACTCCAATTAGCAAAGTATCAAGATCAGCCACCACCATCCTTTTTACTCTCCCATGTCTCGATGAGGTAGTTTAAGTTGACACGTGTTTAAGAAAAAAAGAAGGAAACTTTATTTTAACTTCTGATCTTATATAAGTAATACATGTTTATGTGACTGGTGCCTGGTAAAATGACACTTAAAGTAAAATCATTACTAAATATAATTTTTCGACCTACTAAAAAGAAAAGTGAATGATATAAATTAACACGTAAAGTACTACATATCCATTTTCCGTCATTTTTTTTTTTTAAAAAAGGGGGAAATTAAAATATTAACTGGTTCACTGGATTCTGATGAAATCTTGTTTTCTTGAGG